AAAAGATTTTAGAATTTTTATTGGAAAGTCAGATTTACAAAGAGAAGGAGAGACAGAGAGAAAGACCTTCCATCTGCTTGTTCACTCTCCAAGTAGCTGAGCCAATGTGAAGCCAGGAGCTGGGAGCCAGAAGATACTTCTGGCTCTCCCACACAGGTTGTTCATGGTCCCAAGCACTTGGGCCATCCTCCCTTGCTTTCTCAGGTCACAAGCAGAGAGCTGGATCAGAAGTAGAGCAACTGGAACATGAACTGGCACCCATATGGGATCCCGGTGCTTGCAGGTGGAGCATTAGTTAGTTGAGCTCCTATGTATGAAATTTTTTTTAAGAATTTTTTTTTAAAATTTATTTTTATTGGAAAGGCAAGATATTTTTGATCCCTCCCCCCTCCCCAAATCTTCATGTTTTAATTCCATTTCCATAAAAATAGCTGCAGGCTGGGAAAGGCCAGAGCAACTGAGGCTCCAAGAGCACTTGTCCCTTGCAGGTGACTCTACAGGTCAGTCCCCTAGCAGAGGCTGACACACCCCAACTCTTTCACTTGCCAGGAACGTGACCCTGAGCAGAAGCCTTGATTTCTGCCTGTGTGCAATGGGACAATAACCGAGTGGCCTTGAGTTTTGGCTGAGATGGTGTACGCACAGCAGTTAAGGTGTGGCTGACTTACCGTAAATAGTGCATACATGTGACACTTACAAAATGTTAGAAACCTTTGGGAGAGTCTTATATCTAAAGCCATCAAGGGCCCGGTGCGGTGGCGCAAGTGGTTAAGGTCCTCTCCTTGCACGCCCGGGATCCCATATGGGCGCCGGTTCTAATCCCGGCAGCCCTGCTTCCCTTCCAGCTCCCTGCCTGTGGCCCGGGAAAGCAGTTGAGGACGGCCCAAAGCTTTGGGGCACTGCACCCGCGTGGGAGACCCGGAAGAGGCTCCTGGCTTCGGACCGGCATAGTATCGGCCCGTTGTGCTCACTTGGGGAGTGAATGATCGGATGGAAGATCTTCCTCTCTGTCACTCCTCTCTGTATATCCGCCTTTCCAATAAAAAAATAATAAATCTTTAAAAAAAAAAGCCATCAAGATGTTATTGGAAGATAATATACCTTTCTGATCATAGGTTATTGTAAATCAAGTGTATCAATCCAAATTCGTAACTAAAAAAAAAAAAGATGTTATTAATGGGGGTCCAGTGTGGACGCCCCGTGGCTAAATCCTTCCTTTGCATGCTCCAGGATCCCATGTGGACATCTGTTCATGTCCCAGTTGCTCCACTTCCCCTCCATCTCCCTGCTTGTGGCCTGGGAAAGTAATAGAGAATGGTCCAAAGCCTTGGGACCCTGCGCCCGCGTGGGAGACCCAGAAGCAGCTCCTGGCTTCGGATTGGCTCAGCTCTGGCTGTTGTGGCCAATATTTCGGGAGTGAACTAGTGGATGGAAGATCTTTCTCTCTGTAAATTTGCCTTCCCAATTAAAAGAAAAAATTTGTTTTTAAAAGGAATGTCTTAAGGACTTCATGAAAGGAAAGGGGAGAGAAGACTATGATTATAGATAAGGAGTTTGAAACCACTTTATTCACAGAACAAATATCCAGGAACAGAAGGTCACTGACGAGGTAGTGGTGACGCACGCCCCGCCGCATGCTGCTGGGTTAGCGAGGGTTAACTCCATCCTGTCAGCTGGGACAGGTGAAGGACTGACGCAGCAATCTGTGCATCAGGCTCACTTGGCAGGTGACAAGTGAGGGACACACATCCCCTGGCTCACTGCACTGGGGGACTGGAGCTGGCTTTTCAGAATTTGCTTTCTGGTGTTTTAAGCAGCTTGCTTGCTAAACAGAATTTGCGTGTCTGTTAGGTGGTCAGCATTTGGGAAGTACATCTCAAGTGCCCAGCGAGCCCTCCCGGGGCCCCCTCCCTGCTGGCTCTCACTCTAGTCTCGGTGGAGGTAACTGGGGACCACTGGCGGTGCTGTGGGCCCACTTCTGCCAGGCTGGCTGTGTTGTTGTGATTCTCAGCACCAGGTCGCCTTTACATTCAGCAGGCCTTTAATAAATGCTTGTTGCATTATACACATGGGGATAAACATATATATGTGTATCGGAGCACACATATACAAGCACGTATGTGAGTGATCTCCTAAAAAATCCACAGAAAATCTATATTGATCCAAAAGACAGTGTGGATTTGAAAATAAACTTTTAATTCTATTTTTTCCCCACAGACCTTCTGATGCTCCCTGGCATGTGTAACACGACTGAGCCTTAGACTGGGAAGGGGGCCTACGGGGAGTTATTCTCATTGCTACCAACAATTAGGGCAAAAAAAAAAAAAAAAAAAAAGCTTGGCTTTTCATTTTTTTTTCAGTCTCTGAGGGCTCTTTCCTTTGCTAATCGAGAGTGCTAGCGAGCAAGCATGGTCCACTTAGCAAGTGGGTGGCTTTGTGGGGACACATCAGCACTTGGGAGACAATTGGGGACAATATGCCCGGAGCCGGACACTCATAATACAGAAAAGGCTTGCCTCGGGTGGCATATAAGAATCACCTGGAGGTAACTTAGAAGTTTTCTCTCTACGTGTAATCTATGCTTATTTTTAAGGAATGTTAAGTGCCTCTTAAACGCTCTAGCCAAGTGATTATGGTGAGAAGGAAAGAACCAGAACTGACAATTAGGACATTTATATTCTAAATTTGGCTCTCTTGTGTGTGTGATTTCAGCGAGCCCCTGCCTTTCCCTGGGACTGTAAGATTAGAGGTGGTGGTGGATCTTGAGGATCTCAAGGCTCCCTCTGCCTCTTGATGGTGCAAGAATGCAGGGTTGCACCACGCCTGCAGCCAGCAGTGTAGCTGTGCGTGTCTCCAAGGGCTGAGCCCACTGTGCTCCTGCTCTCCATGCTATCCCCAAGGGCAGCCGGTCACAGCAGGCCTGGGTGGGGTATGACGTCTGAGGCCGGCGGCCCTACCGATTGGCACCAGAACCTGACAAGCTGCAGTCTCATGTCGCCTTAGAACTGTTCATTCTTGATTGGCTCGCGCATGGCTTGCTAAGGGAGATATCGGGGATTGAAATGGCAGTTACTCTGCAACACCCTCCGGTCACGCCTTCCTTCACGTGGTTCCCCGGTGCTATACCGACGCTGGCCAGCAGAGGACACTCGTGCGATGCGGAGGCCGGCAGCTCCCGGTGGGGCGGGAGCCTGGCTCCCTCCCATCTTTGCCACCACATCTGGACTTGCAGAAGCCATTCTTTTCTTAAGTGGCTCTCAACCAGGAGCTATTTTCCCCTCTCCCCAGGAGACATGTAACAATGCCCGCAGACCCATGGGGTTGTCGCAACTGAGCTGGGGAGGGTCCCAGCCGCCGCTGAGCGTTCCCAGAGCCGGAGAATCCCGCCGCCAGAGCCGAAGAGACAGCTTGCGGGCAGACAGAAGCTCGCGGCCCTGGGGCTGAAGTGTTTGGGCTCTCACAGGGGAATTCTAAAACAGTGACCTCAAAGTATTTTTCACTGTTAGAAATGGTGGTAGTAGCGGTGAGGGGTTCACAGCCACCACAAGCCTCGGAAGAGGAGGTGGGGTCAGACGGAGGGTGGGCGCAGGTCCCCACCAGGGAGGAACACCCGGCCCTTGGCTGGCCATGACAACACTATCCACTTCCTTGTGCCTGAGCAAGCACACTAGCTCTTTGTCTCTGCAAACTGGGCAGGGTGATGGGAAAGCCCCCAGGGGCCCGGCCTGTGGCCTGGGGTGGGCGTGGGGTGCACAGAGGGAGAAGCAGTTTTAATTCTCTCTCTGGGTGGGCCCCTCGAAGCTCCTCAGGGCTGGGGACCTGGAGACAGAAGAACTCGGCCTTGACCTGTGTCGGACTGGCTGGCCTGAGTATGGGGGGGTGGGTCTCTCCTTCTCTAGCCACGAGTTCACCAAGAGGAGAGACTGAGGTTGCAGGGAGCACCCCCCTGCCCCCCAGTTTCCACTGGAGGAGGAGGCACGCCCACTGCTCATGTTGAGGGACAAGGGAAGCCATGGCACATGGTGGGCACTCTGGTGCCTCTTTGGCTTGTGTCCGGCAACACATGGTAGCCAGTGCTGAGCGTGCGTTGGTGGCCTCTTCAGGTCCACCCTGCTTCATTCTGGGTCCTGAGGGGGTAGAGGAAAAAAGACCTGGCCGGGACCCTCCTTGCTCCCCCAGCCCTTTGCAGTCCCCACCAGCAGAGTTGCTGGGCAGGCAGGTGGGTCCCTGAGGCCACTCAGTTCTGAAATTCCGTCCTTGGTGCCTGGGCCCCCTTGGCCTGGCCCTTGGGAGCACCTTCTGCCAGGAGGATGGGAGATGGGAGATGCAGGGTCCCTGATTCCCACCCCCTCACCCTACTGGCCCCCCATTCATCCCCTAGGCGGGGTTGAGCTCTACTCCAGCAGGGTCTGGGACCCAGAGAGCAAGGCTGTCAGCCAGAGAGGACGGTTTGCCAGGGGCATTTTATTGTAGCAGGCACAGAGCTGAGTTGGTCCCTCCCTCTGCACCTGCCTGGGAGTTGGCGGGGTGGGGGTTAGGGAATGAGAAGTGCCTGCAAGGGAATTGAGCTTCCGGGACAGAAGAGGGACTGGAGATGGAGCAAGGGTGAGGGAGAAGGGCCCCTAAAGGACAAAGGAACTGCCACAGAGGTCAGACATCCCCTCCCCTCCCTGGCCCAAACCCAAAATGTTGCTTCTTTCCTGGGGGTGGGGATACTGAGGCTTCCAGTGATGGAAATAATCTCACCTCCTTCAAGCATAAGGTTGCGATCTAGACTGCCTCCTGATCTGGTTGGACTGGTTAGCAATGTTGGGGAGAGGGCTGCCTCCATTCTCCCCTCCCCACAGTACGCTTTCTTGGCAGTGTGCACCCCTGTCAGCCTTGCTTCTAGCTTCATCCCCAGGGATGCTCTAACCATCTCCACCTTCCGCCAGGGGAGGGAACTGGCCACACTGCCACCCACATACCACACGTCTCCTCCCTCCCCACCACTCACACTATTAGGGAGGGTCCAAGGGCCACACTGCCTTGAAGGTCTCTGGGTTGGGGGCCCCAGAGCTTTCCTCCCCAGCTCCGAGTCCGTGGGTCTGTGAGGAGAAGTCAGCCCTGGGCTCCAGGCCGGCCTGAGCTCCTTTCTTGGGGTTGGGCTTTTTCTCTGGTCCCTCAGGCCTCAGGGACAAGAGCCGAAGCCTCTCACCTGCATTGGGCTCCAGCCCAGGCAGCAGGGGAGGTCCTGGGAGCAGAAGGTTGGGCTTGGGGTTCCCGGGCAGCTGCCGCTCCGACCAGAGGAGGCAAGAAAGCCCCCGAGAGGCGGGTCCAGTCAGAGGGGAGTGGGGGTGGCAGGGGAGGAGTGAAGGAGGCAAAATTGGGCAGCTCGCCTTGAAGGCTCCCGAAGTGGCAGCAAGGGCCCAGCCGGCAGTGGCCAGGGCCAAGTCCTAGAGGCAGACAGAGAGAAGGTGTTAGAAGGGGTCCCCATTGTCTCCAGGATGCTCCCCACAGCACCCATGGCCCCCTCCTCCCTCTTTTGCTTTCTTCAGGTTTCCCGGCCTGGGGCTGACAGTGCTGGCCACCTGTTTGCCTCACCCTTGTCCCTCTTCTCCAGGGCACCTGTCCGGGGAAGAGGCCTGGAGGGATTTACCTAACGCCAGGTGTTCCAGTGGTATGGGGTGGGAACTGAGCCAGAGGCACAAATTAGTACTCAACAGACACGTGCTGCCTGCTGCGTGAACAGAAGAAGGATCTATTTTGCCCTAACTCAGTGACTCCACTCTTCTTTCTCGCTGGGTTGGGGTCGGGAGTGTGTGGCCTTGGACTCATTCTGGGCATCCCCAGCCCTCTCCTGGCAAAGATGCAGGAGCATGGTTGGCAGAAGGGGGTGTGCAAGGAATAGGATGGCCAGGATGAGTTCCCAGCTCTCCTGGATGGGGCCATGGCCCCTTGCTCTGCTTCTCCTCCTCTTCCAAGTAGCCTTCACACTTCCCTCGCCTTGTTCCTCTTCTCCTGCCATACACCAGGGCTTACAGGTGACTATAGAGATATCCACACCACATTCTGGCCTCAGCCTGGCCTAGTGCTGACCTAGTCACCATCTGGGGAGTGAATTACTGGATGATGATCCCTCCCTGAGCAGAGTTTCAGAGATGTCTTCCATCTGCTGTCTCATTCCTCAAAATGGCTGTGATAGCCAGAAGCCAGAAGCTTTATCCAGGTTTCCCATAAAGTTAGGCATAGGCCAAAGTAACTGGGTCATCTTCTGCTGCCCTCCCAGGTCATTAACAGGGAGCTGGATGGGAAGTGAGAGTAGCTGGGACTTGAATCGGTGCCTGCGTAGGATGCTGGCAGCGCAGGTGTATGTTTAACCCATGATACCAAGGTAGGGTAAGACCCAAGGAGGTCTTCCCTGATGTCCTCAGCACCCAGCATTTCCCCTCGGCAGCAGATGGTACAGTTCTGTTTCCATCTCTGCTGGGAATAGCTTGTGTATGCTTCACCTGTCTTCCAGTCCTACAAGTCACATTGGTTCCTGTCCTGCCACATTGAACAGGTCAGACATTTAATGAAGGAATGAGTGAATTAACTTCTCATTCTCCATCTCCCTCTGGCCAGGTCTCCTTCTTGGCTCCACCAGCCCTTTCTTGGTTTTGGCCTCAACATCATCTGCTCACAGTATCCTCTACAGCCACTGACACCAGCCTCCTGTGTGTGCACACACTGAGGAATCCTTCTGTGAGTGTGCATCTTCCCATGGGGTGCTCCTGCACCTCATCCACCTGCTGGGGGCTGCCTCCTCCAGGAAGTCCCAGCCCCTTCTCTGTATCGCCACAACGCCTTGTGCTTACTTGAGTCTCAGCACCACCCCTGGCAATCCTCCCTTCCCCGCGGGGCTCTAAGCACCTCAAGGGGCCATCTTGGAGTACACCTGAATCCCCCACTTCATAAACAGCAGGTGCTTAATAAAGGGTGAGTGAATGAGTGACTTGCTTCATGTCCCTTCCAGCCATGTCCTTGGGTGGATGTCCCCCCCTCCCTTGGTGAAGCATTCCTGGGCCCCGCCCACTGCTGGGCACTCACGGTGGACACTGCTGCTGCTGCTCCCCTTCTTGTCCCCAGAGGCCTCTGGTGGCCCGCGGGAGGCCTGCTGTGCAGCCAGCTGCCCCACCAGGGCCCGCTGGGTGACCAGCATGCTGTGCAGGAGCTGAGGAGCAGAGAGAGATGGGGTAGGGCTGAGCTGGGCTCTCCCTGCCAGGTGTTTGTCCAGGGCATACAGAGACCCTCACCCAAGTCTAATTTGGCAGCATATTCTCATGCTGGTTGTTGAATGGCCAGCACCTACAGTGTCAGATGCCTTGCCCCCACTCCCGCTGAGGCTCTATACCCTCCTTCTGATCCACTGCTAAACTGGTGCGATGCAGAAGTCACCTTCTCATAGCTAGGTGCTATGCCATTGATTGTCAAATCCCACCACCTCTGGGACACTCAGGGCCTAGGAGAGGCAGGGCACTGGAGACTTTTGGGCCCCAGAGGGCACAGATGCTGCTATCATGCCTACCTCGCTCTGTACCCCCATGGGCACCAGGGCTGGCCGACACAGGGCAGGAGTTCCCAGCAGCAAGTGGGGGGATGGTGGTGCTCGCACTTCCCACAGAGGGTAGTTGACCACGATGAGCTTGCTGAAGTTGAATTTGTATGTGAATCTTTTGCCTTTGGTCTTGTGCAAGATCCTCTTATTGTAGTAATACCTGGAAAACCCGAGGTTGCCAGCTGATTGGCCCAGTGGGCAGGGAAAGGAGCCAGAGACCAGGTCCCACCCCTTACCAGGCCAGCAAGGCTAACCTACCGTTCCTGGAGAACACTAAGATCTGCCCCCACGCGAGGATGTTCCCCACGCCTGGGGGCAGTTGGACTCTTATGGGGGTACAGGAACCACAGCCCTCCTTCCAACTCTTGCTCTTTGGGTGGCCTTGTCTCACCTGAGGGCCCGGCTCAGCTTGTCATAATTCATCTGTGGTTTGCATTTCCTGCGGCCCCAGAGGCGGGCCACCTCATCTGGGTCCTTGATGACAAACTCCCCGTACTCTCCCTGCTGCCAGGCGATGACATGGTGGAACTCTTCCTTCTGCAGCAGCTCCAGGATGAAGTGCCACAGCTGGATCTGCCGGGAGCCTGGGGATGACTCGGCTTTGTAGGCCCAGTCGGGGAAGGCCAGGCCTGGGGAAGGGAGGGCAGTGTGAGGGCCGCTCGCTGCTGGAGGGCCTTGCCCAACGCTGTCATGGGAGCTCTGGGTTGGGGAGGGGTGTGGCTGGCAGAGACACTCACCTGAGACCCAGTAGTTACATGGGGTGGCAGCAGGGATGCCCTCAGCCAAACAGCTGCAGTGCATGGTCCACGCTGGTTGGGTGAGACAGGGCTGCGTCTGGGCCTTGGGGAAAGGAGGTAGGGAAGAGGGCCACAAAAGAGGAAAGAAGGAGAGAAGGATGGAGAAGGCTGGGGAGGAAGGAGGGAGGATAGAGGGGACAAGGGAGCCAAGAGAAGCTTCTGAGGGAGGAGGCTTCCTCACCTAGAGAAGATAGGGGGAGGATGGAGCCCCGCCCCCTGGACCTCCTCACAGAGGCTGATCTGGGCCTTCCCCCCACCCCGGCTGGAGGCTGAGCCACTTAGATAGATGGAGAGGAATTCAAAGGGTTCCCCAATCCTGTCCCTGCTGGGGGATTTACACTGAGAATGAGATGTCTTCTTAGGGCTTAACAGGATGGGAGTTTTCCCAGGAGAAGACAAGAGAAAACATAATTAATTGTTGGTTCTTTCTCTGCTGGGGAGGTTGTGGCACATACATAGCTATGCCTTTATGGTCTTGAGCACAAGCTGAAATTTGAAAAGAACAGGGATGTTTGTGTTTTTATTTTTTCCCCACCAATGGGTTCTAGAGCCTGGCACATAGTAGGCATTTAATGAATACTTGCTGATGAGATAAATGAATGGCATGGATGGGTCAGACATCTGTTCTCTCCTCTGAGTGTCAGCGCCATATAGCTTGGGACCCTGGCTGTCTTGCTCACTGCCGGCTCCCCACTCTATCCTGACACACGACCTTGTACTCCTAAGAGCTCTGTGAGTATCTGTGGGATGAATGGCCTGTAGGCAAGAGAGAGAAGCTCTTAGGGCTTCTGGGTAGGGCAGCGGGCCTTGTAGGATGAGCCACCAAGGGGTAGCCCTGCCAGGTGCACACAGGGAGGAGAGAACTATCCACACCCTCTCCCCAACCATCCCTACCCCTGACTGGCTGATAGAGGATGTTGGTGCCAAATGCAGAGTTCCATATCATGTGTAGAAGAGAAAATGATGTGTGGGATGCCTGGGGAGGGATGGCAGAGGCTGCGAGGGTTGGGGAGGATCTGCAAGAGGCAGGGCCTTATCCTGGGGTGGGCCAGAACTCCCGAAGAGATGAGATAAATGAATGTTCAGATTGGGTGTGCAAACAGGCTTTCCAGCCCTGGACTCTGTGCTTCGGGCTAATTTCTCTGTTGCAGTTAAGCATGAGCTAAGGATTAGTCTTGACAACTTATATAGAGTGAGAAAGGGTTTGTCTAGAGTAGGCACAGAAAAAGTCTTGAGCAAACTCACAAGGTGAAGGAGCGGCCTGCTCCCTGAGCTTCGACTCTGCAGCACTTTCTCCTGCCTGGAGTTGTTTTGGGACTTTAACTGGTCAAACCTCCTCCCCCACCCCTCCACCCCCCCTCGCCGCCCATCCCTTCCCTCTCTCTTGTCCCCCAACTCTGGTGTGCTCCATGGTCATGGGCCAGGGCTTCTATAAATGTGGATTCAGGCTCAGTAACACTTGGTGGATGGGAGCTGCAGCAGAAAGACTTCACAGGGACCATCTTGGCTTACCCTTTCCCAGCACCCAGGGGCATCTAGCTCTCTCTTTCCCAGGGACCCTCAGAGCCATGAGAGGGCATTGACAAGCTGATAGGCTCTGGGGCAGGGTCTGAGGCCAGTGTGCCTCTGGGTTGGAGGAGAAAGCAGAGCAGTGAGTAGCCCTGTGCCCACGGGAGTCTAGGTGGTAGGTGGGCTATCCCATCCATACATACCTCTTTGTTTCTAAACTGACAGCTAACATTTTGAAATCTTTCTTCCTTGCCTCTCCTGGAGTTCATGTCTCCACCTTTCTCCCACTCTTCTTTTCTGCCCCATCCATCAGGAAGTCCCTTCTTTGTGTAGCCTCAATCAGAATTAGGCTCTGTCCTGCCTCATCTTAGGAAAATGGGCTGGGAATGGGATGAGGGGAGGCAGGGGTGTGTGTGTAATGGAGACTGCCTGATGGATGGGGTGTAATGTTGAGGGATTCCAGAAAGAGGCTCTGCCCCAGAGGAAGCTCACGGATTCCTGGGGCTTGCCTTGTGCCTACCTGATAGCCTTTCCTGGTCTGGAAAGATCTACAACCTCAGGTAGAGAGAGATAAGCCCACCTCTTAGCCCTGTGCTGTGTCAGGGGCGGAAATCTACTCTCATGCCACTAGCAGGGGCAGGTGCACAGGAGTTGTGAAACCTCCCTAAGGCCATGCAACTCTTATGAGGTGGAAAGCAACACCTTGAGTCAAGATTCATGATATTCAGGCACCCAGGTAGGCTCCGCACAGCCTCTCCCTGCCTCCAGGAAGAAAACACCCCGGATAGAAAATCGCCATGGGCACCCGTGCGTGAGGTCAGTCTCCTGGTTTCCTGGATGGCTGCAGCCTCCTTTCCAATCTGCCCTGGTGGGTGGGGCCCCAAGTGTGGAGGACCTGCCAGCCACAGGTTCTGCTGAGGAAGCTCCTCTTTCCCTCCAGCTTCCCCTCAAGTCCTTCTCTGCCTGAGCTCCTGAGCTGCTACGGGAACTGGCAGAGAGGAGCAGGTGACAGTTGAAGAGTCATTCCTGGTGCCCAGCCTTGCTTCCGGGGCTTCCTTGTTGAGCCACGCTCCAGTGGTGGAGAGGGTGGTTGTTCACCCTGCCTTCCAGGCCCCCAAATCCTTTAATCTTGTGCTGTGGGCTGAACACCCAGATCCGGGGTCGGGGAGAGCCCTGGCTACTGCCCTTTTCCGCAGGCCCTGAGTGGGGTCAGGCATGACTGCCTTAGAGGAGGATGAGGATGGAGAACCCTAAATCAAAGCAAATCATAACCTGGTCTCGGCTGACCAGAGTGGCTTTTCTCACACACTTTTTTTAAAGTGTTAGAACAGTCAACGAGTATTACTGTCCTCATTGCCATCATTCTGTTTCCTGACACTGTAGTTAATCCCCTTGGCCAACGAATGTGCTCATTACGACAGTGGGTTTTAGGTCATTGTTTAATTAAAAGTGATGTAGATAATGATGATAACAAGAGAGCAGAGGGCTTAAGCTGGGGCTGGGCACCATGGGAAATGTCCGAAACTAATTTCATCTCTTAGAAATTTCTGGTTATTGTGCATGCAGTATTGGGGCTTGCCGTTGGTTTCCTGGGTTACCCATCGGTTCTCTGCCACAGCCCTTGGAGGTGAGTGTTGCTATCTCCATGTGGCAAGCTGAGAGAATTGAGATTCAGGAAGGTAAAGACTTGCATAAGCTCCTCTAGCCTAAGTGGGGGAGCCGGATGGGAAACAGGTCTGTCGGACGGCCTACTTTGAGCTGCCATTAGCCAATCAGGCCAAAGCAGCGGAGGCAGAGAAGTGAAGCTGGCAGGCAGCATGTGGCTCTAAACTCCAATGTAGGCACTGCCAGAAAAATGCCCCAGGCAACCCGTGGCCAGCCAGGCAGACAGAGTACAATACAGAGAGGATAAGAGACAGGAGCAGACAGGACAGAAGACAGGCATGCACAGCAGGCACCCTCAGGACTGCTTGTACCCAGGGTAGAGACTTGTCACAGGGGTCTTCTGAGTGGCTCAAGTAGATTGACTGCATAATCTGATTGTTCAGACCAAACTGAGTCTTCTCTGTGAATGCCTGATGGGCACCATGGGAAAATGGGATGTTTAATAAATACAAAGGCAGCTGAAAGAGGCAGGCCACGGAGTCAGCGGGAAAGGATGCATTGGAGAGAAGGAAGGCAGAGGAACAGGGACTGGTGGTCATGGGTAAGGTCCAGTGAATGGCCCAGGGTGATAGAAAGCTGCCCAGGGCTCAGGACGCAGTGGTGACAGCCTTTGGGAGGATAGCTGATGCTTGTTAACCCCGAACAAACTGCACATCCCCATCCCTTGGCTAAATCCCCAATCTGATTAGAGGCCTTTGGTTCTCCGCTTGATCGCAGTGCCCAGTGGAGGGTGGGTTATTCCTGAGACCCGGCTTAATGCTATTAGCAAAAGCGGCTTAGGTAGGAGAGCAAGAGGAGCTGGTGGCGCAGGCAGGGCAAAGCCAGCCACTCCTTTCCCTCTTCTCCCAGCAGCCTCCCTTCCTGTCTCCCTGGACCAAGGGGCAGGCTGGTTGGTACAGACTCCGAGTGCTTGGTCCCTCTCTGCCCAGCCCACCTGCCTCCTGCAGCTTCAGCGTCCCCTTCCCTGTACCCTGCACCCAAGAGAGGCCATTTTGTGGGGGACTAGTTGCAGCCCTGCTTCTTAGTCCCCAGCCCCTGGCACCCTCACCACCCCTTCCTCCCGGCTCCTGAACCTCTGCGGTTGCCTCTTGTCTCCATGGTCCCTGGAGGCCGTGGGATCTAAAAGGTTTGTCTAACTCAGTGGAGCAGAAATCCAAACCCAAACTTCCCCAAGCCTCATCCATAGTTGAAGGTCAGGGGGTCCGCTCCACACCCAGCCCTCAGGCTCCTCACTATCTAATCTTTATCTCCCTGCTCAGCTGTCTCTCCTCTTCCCTCCCACTCCAATTCTCCCTTCCTTCCACTTGCTAACCTCCCATCTGGATCCTTTCTTTGCTCCAACAGCCGGCTGTCTTGCTCTCTGTCCAGCTGTCCCGCCCCCACCACAGGATGCCTTCTCAGCTCCCCAGCTCCTCATCTGTCTCAGCCTCCTTCAGTCTCCTCGCCTGTTTTCTTGACTCTGTTTTTTCTCTCCTGCCCACCTGGACACACACCTTGCCCTTACAGCTTTGCCCACCTCCCTGCTCCCATCTCCTGACCCCTCCTCAGCTTCTCCAGCCCCAACTCCCTGCCCTTCCCCCAGTGGCAACCTCAGCATTTCCCTTTTGCCTTATTCCCATCAGTTGCACCCTGGGGTAGCCCCCTGGACACCCCCGATCCTTAACCCTCCACCCTGGACAAGAAATCCCCTCCAGCTGACACTGAGGTGGCTGTGGGGCCAGGCCAGAGAGGGAGGAAGTGAAAGCTCTGAGTGCACAGCTGGCCTGGGCTGAGTAACGGGGAGCAGGAAGGCAGGGGCAGCAGTGTCACCAGCTGGGTGGGGGGCGGGGT